GACTAATATTTGAATGCATTTCGAATGGACTTTACACAGTAATTAGTTAAAAATTAAAATGGAAGAAGATATGTGTGAGCGGTTGCATTCAATTCGGGTAGATAAAGAGCGGTCAAATCAGCTTTTATTACTCTCGTTGATTTCTAAGAGCTCAGGAAGTTAAATGAGATGTAATTTCGTTCATTAATAATAATGATGATAATGATAATGATAATGATAATAATAGAGAGGGCCATTGAGATAAATCCAAAATGAATAACTTCGACTGTCCCGACTAATATTTGAATGCATTTCGAATGGACTTTACACAGTAATTAGTTAAAAAATAAAAAGGAAAAAGATATGTGTGAGCGGTTGCATTCAATTCGGATAGATAAAGAGCAGTCAAATCAGCTTTTATTACTCTCGTTGATTTCTAAGAGCTCAGAAAGTTAAATGAGATGTAATTTCGTTCATTAATAATAATAATAATGATGATGATGATGATAATGATAATGATAATAATAAAGAGGGCCGTTGAGATAAATCCAAAATGAATAACTTCGACTGTCCTGACTAATATTTGAATGCATTTCGAATGGACTTTACACAGTAATTAGTTAAAAATTAAAATGGAAGAAGATATGTGTGAGCGGTTGCATTCAATTCGGGTAGATAAAGAGCGGTCAAATCAGCTTTTATTACTCTCGTTGATTTCTAAGAGCTAAATTTCGTTCATTAATAATAATAATGATGATAATAATGATAATGATAATAATAGAGAGGGCCATTGAGATAAATCCAAAATGAATAACTTCGACTGTCCCGACTAATATTTGAATGCATTTCGAATGGACTTTACACAGTAATTAGTTAAAAATAAAAAAGGAAGAAGATATGTGTGAGCGGTTGCATTCAATTCGGGTAGATAAAGAGCGGTCAAATCAGCTTTTATTACTCTCGTTGATTTCTAAGAGCTCAGGAAGTTAAATGAGATGTAATTTCGTTCATTAATAATAATGATGATGATGATAATGATAATGATAATAATAGAGAGGGCCATTGAGATAAATCCAAAATG